TATGTTAAAAGTACTTTCATCTTACTAGAGGCATGTATTTTCTAGGTAGAACCCTAGAAGTGTGTTTGCCAGGTCAAAAAGTGTGTGTGTATTTTTCTTAGATACCGCCATATTTCCCTCCAAAAGGGCCTCACCAATCCTCTTAGATTTAGCTTTTTCTACTCTGTGGGAATTTAGTATGTCTGTACTTGGCAATAGCAAAACCAGCTTTATAAACAGGTATCCATAAACTTCTGGAAAAGGGAATAATTTGATTACTTCCTAAAATCTACATGTACTAAGTTAATTCATTCACTTTATAAATGTACAAAACAGGAACTTGAAAAAAAAACTTAGATCCTGACCCTTAAATAACTTATGTTTAGAAAAGTTGGCAATGCAGTGAATCAGGATAAAGTTGTTAGTCTTGCAAACTTCATGCCCTACACAGATTCTAGGAACTAGGACCATGCAGAAAAATACTTTTATCTCCTTATACAATATTGGGAAGTGTTTGCAAATCACTCTAACTTCATTATTATTGGAGAGCTTACCCTCTTCTTGCTCACCCTGTGTTAGCTTTTCATAGAAAGCAGAGTAAAGCCTTATGGAACAGGATATTAGAGGATTCCAGGATATTAAGTCTGCCATTTCCATTGTATAACAAGAATGCTTTAGTTCATTCTGAGAAATACTTATTGGTTAGAATAGAAAAAACAAATTTCCTCTTGTTAATTAATATCTTGGAGAAAACTGTAAAGACTTAATCTATGAAAGGCATTTTTCTGAGGACTCTTCCCATTGAAGATTTGCTCCCACAAGATCCATTTTCATAGAAAAAATGGAGAAAATTAAAAATAAATAAATACAGGAATCATATTTCTAAAGTTAACATTTGCCCTAGACACAAAGTATTACAGTTGAATATATGATAAACATTTTAAAAAGTAAACAATTCATAAACTTCTGAACTTTATTTTAATCACACACCTCATGAAATCTTAGCTTAGTTACATGCCTGAGGAGTATGTCATTATTTTTTTAATTCATAATTTGTTTATGAAAAAAGATGCTGAACAGTTATTTCTTATATGCTATAGATATTGATGGACATAGAAGTTCATTTTGCTTGAACTTAAGAAACAACCGTTTTAATAATTGGGAGAACATAAAAAATGAATAATTAAGGGCATTTGTAGACAGATTGGAATCTAAGGAAAATGCTTTATAGTACATTGCCCCAAAACTAAATGCTAATGATCTCTATTTTACTATTTCTTGGCTTTACTTTGTTTTTTGAAATTTATTCTCAAAGTCATGCTCTAAATTTACTATCTTTTATTCCTTTTGAACAAATAATGCTGATTTTGGAAGGTTATTTATGTATGTATATCATCTTCTTCCTTTGTTTTACATGTCAGTCCATGTACAGAGGATCACCGGTTAGTACAAATTTTAGAATTTTTAATTCCTGATTTTTATAGGTAAAAGAGAACATAAGTTTCATGCTATTTGGTAGAAAACTTAAAAGTAAGTGCATCTTCTTAAGCTACTCTTCATGGTTTCTTTTTAGTCAACCTTTAAATGTAAAGAATAACCATTTTTTTTTGTTTGGAAATTTTTGTTGATAATTCCTTGCATGATGTTATATATTTTTTAAAATTTTAAATTTAAAAAAGTTTTTGAAACCAGTTTTTTAGTTGTTACATTTTGTTCACCTAACAAATGCACCAGAAAGTTTCACTGAAACCATGTGTGCGTGTGTGTTCACGGCTCACCCTACTTACTCTTGTGTACCACCTCATGACCCCAAACCTTACTGGTGTCTAATAAAGTTCTAATTATTGTGTAATTAAATGGGTTGCAATATTTCTAGTACATTACTAATGCAGTTTTTCTTTTTAAACAGATTAAACTAGTCAACATTAACTCCACTGATATAGCTGATGGCCGACCATCAATAGTTCTTGGATTGGTGTGGACCATTATTCTATATTTCCAGGTATTGTGCTACAGTTTCTTTTTCAGTTGATCTTATATCAAACAGAAGGAAATGATAGTAGACATTTTAATAATGTTCTCTTTTCCCATAGGTTGGGGCGATCCTTAGCTTAGAAGATATGTTACCTTCACTCATAACAGGGTATTTGGTTGCAAGAGAATTTCCTCTTCTCTCTTGAAACCCTCCATTCCAAAATACTCCAATAGAGGTACCCACTCTGAAAAGTAGGTCAGTCTCAATGGAGGTGGATATAGGCATAGAAGGAGTTTGGGAATTTTTTTCTTTTTTCTCTGGGAGTAGTTCTAAGCTCCAGGGGGTGCATATTAACCACCATTCCATGCAATGCAGAATAATTGTTCTAAACATTAGGTTTTATTTTATGAGTTGTATCAGTCATTTTCCATTTTTACAACAAAATAACTGAGGCTGGGTAACTTACAAATAAGAATATTTAACTTACACTTTGGGTAACTGAAAGATTAAAAAGTACGGGGCCAGTTCTGATGACGTCTGGTGGCTGTATCACATCAGGGCAAATGGCATCATGGCTTGTGCCAGAGGGAGAGATCACAGATCACAGGGTGAGGCAGGAAGCCAGAGAGACCAGGAAATTGCCAGACTAACAGTGCTCTCATGAGAACTAACCAAGGTCCTAGGGCAGCTCCCCAGTGACTAGGCTCAAACTCCCAAAGGGCCAGCATCCCCAAAATTGCTTCCAACATATGAATTTTCAGGTGACAAGCTCAGATCACATCTAAACCAGAGCATCAATTCATTCATGCATTCGACAAATATTTGTGACTGTAAGATATAGGGGCACAGTGAGCACAAAGAGGGATAAAATGTCCTCTTGTGCCCTATAAGAGCTCACATTTCAATGTCATTTTTATTGGGAAAAGTATATTCCAAGGAAAGAAAACCAAAGATGATTCTTATGTTTTTGCTCTCTGTTAACTCGTAAATAGATTGAAGAGTTGACCAGCAACCTGCCACAGCTACAGTCTCTGTCCAGCAGTGCCTCTTCTGTGGACAGCATCGTCAGCTCTGAGACCGCCAGCCCACCAAGCAAGCGCAAGGTGGCCACCAAGATCCAAGGAAATGCCAAGAAAGCGCTATTAAAATGGGTGCAGTACACAGCAGGCAAGTAAGTATCAAGGGTTTGTTTAATAATTTGAGTTATCGATTTATCGCTTATTATGCCTTCTAATGATTGCAAAATATGAAAAGATATTTGAATGAATGACTTTTGCTTTAGCTCTTATTTCACTGTCCTTGAACTAAAATGTAAACATAAGCTCATCACCAGTACTCCAAGAAAATGCTGTAATAAAATGAATTCTTTCTTCGTTCATGTGATTGGGCCTGATTGATTAAACTGATCAATTTTTAACTTTTGATTAGTGGCCTGAGGGCTAATTCTAATCAGATCATTATTTAAATTTTCTGTTCCTATTAAATAATGTTTGCACAAATAAATTACAAGCTCAAACTTGATTATCTCTTCAAAAGACTCTTGAATTCGATTTAATAATAATGTTAAGAAAGGTCCACATTCTGAAAAAACATCGTATTTGTTTCCATTCCCTGAAATTTTCTAGCAATTTTATTTTTTAATTTTTACCCTTTGTTCTTATATCTATAACACAGATTCCTTTGTCAACTCTTGCTTTATGAGTTGAAATTTAAATTTATGTAACATTTTGTTATGATGGCAGATGGAAGATTACTGCTCTTCAAAAAAGTACCTTCTCATACCAATTCCAGTGGGATATCTGGTTGATGATAGCAATATTTTGTGGTCTAATGTGGTCACTGTCAAGTTTCTTCACATAAAAGTTGTGCATTTGTTTGATTTTCCTAAATAGTGTGAAATATTAACTAACTTTCTATCTTGCTTTACTTGATTGAATCTAATCTGAATCTGATTATCTACTTTAGGAAAACAGTTGTAAATAAGTACTTATTATAAAATACTGAGGTGCTGAAACATAGAGAATTCTATTTTTAAAATGTTTGAAGAGCAAAAATAAGGAGAGAAAAATAAAAAAATAGAGAAGATGTAATTAGTGTTACTAATTTATGTAAGTTTGTTTAGCTTTTAAAGTGTGTTAGTTGTTTTCTAATTTTAGGTATATTCTTATGATTCAGTGCAGCCAAAAATATTTCTGAAAACAAATTTGTGTGACTCTTTAGACTCTGTAGTATAAAATTAAAATTAAAAATCTGACCCATAATATTGGTGCACTATTTGATTATAAGCACATTGGACCTTACTAATCTCTATTGTAATTTAACTGGACAGGGAAAAGAAATGTCCTGGGTGGAAAACTGATGACCACTTGCTGACATTTGTCACAATGCTATTGCATTTATACTTTGTAATAATTCAATATGCTCTTCTATTGTCCATAACTCCACACAACATTAAACTAATCAAAAATAATTTGATTTTTATTTGATAACATAGTGGCTCGAGGTTAACTCAAATTTAATGCTGTGGGAGTTTTCCTACATCGAATTTAGTTTCACATATATTGTGTTGGGTTTCTAAGATATGCAGAGATATGCTAACAGTGCAAAGTCATTCCTACAACTTATGTTTGTGACATCAGTTTACGCTGTACTTATCTGTATAAATGTCTAATATCATGGTCCCCAGGGGTGTCTACCCATCAATATACCAATCAGATCCATTTCTCCGGTAACTGTGTAAACTGTAGAGTTTGGAAAGGTGACTCTTTGTCATGAAAATTCTGTAAGGACACATGACGTTTATGCCACCAAATTGTTGATAATTGTTGTGAAGCTTCCTTTTACATGGTCCCTGTGTACACTATTTAAGCAACTTCTTACCTGACATGGATAGAAGACTTTAGGATCTGTATGTGTGTGACAACTTTCCTGAAATTGTTATTATCTTATGGGGGACTCTGTAGTCTGGATCACTCTCACAGGACTCTCACAGCCAATGGGAAGGTGGGAAATGAGGAAATATTTAGAAAGCACCTGACTGATTGTTAGAGTGTATTCACTATTTTCACACAAAGTTTAAAGATATTTGAGAAATGAGTCAAAAACTGTGTTAGTAAAACAAAATCATGAAGCCCTTTCTATTTTCTTAGCCAGTTTCATGGACTGCTAGTACATAGTCTCAGAAATAAAAGCACTAAGTTAAACCATTTGCATACCTATTATTAACTGTCTAAGAAGAACGATTATGTTTTAACACAGAAATAAATCAGATAAACAAACAAATGAATACCCCAAATCATTCAAAATTACCTGAAGAAATGTGGAGCTGTTTTAGTCAGCTTTTTCAGTGCTGTGAATAAAGCACCCAACTAGGACAACTGTAGAGGAGGAAAAGTTTATTTAGGGCTCATCATTTCAGAGGTCTCAGTCCATCAACAGCTGGCTCCATTCCTCAGGGTTCAAGGTGATGCCAGACATCATGGTGGAAGGGGTGGTGTGAGGGAAGCAGTTCACATGATGATCAGAGAGCAGAGAGTGAGACTCCACGCTGCCAAAACAAAATATATACCCTAGAGCCACATCCCCAATTCCAACCTTCTTCAACCTCACTCTATCATTTTGGTTGCTACTCAGTTAATCCCTGTGCAGTTATTAATTCACTGATTGGATTAAGACTGTCACAACCCAGTCATTTCTCCTCTGAACTTGCTTACATTGTCTTACATGTGAGCTTTTGGGGGGGACACCTCACATAACATAGTAGAGACCAGAATTGCCTGTAAACTGACCACATTTCATCACTTAAGTAATGCACAAGTTTTCCTTGGGTTTATAAAATTCTAAAAGGAGAAGTTTGAACTAAAACTAGAACTTTTGAGAACTATTAACTACTACTTTGATGTAATAAGAAATGGTGTGTATCTTCACACTCACACACACATATTATACATGTATATTTATTTCAGCAAATTTGCAAAAGGAAAAATGCACTGAAACATTTTAATGATTCTAAGGTAGTAAATATTTAAGAAAACATTTTAAATATTTCTTTTAAAATATCTGAAACAATAAAAAAGTTCAAGGAAACATTAAATAACATGGTGAATATTTATTAGCTAGTTGTTTATTTGTGCCTTGCTTTATTATGTTAAAAACTAATATGAAGTGGCTTAAAGAGTCAGGAATATTTATAAATGAGAAAATATGAGCAAGGAAAAATATAGGTAGAAAAGTAAGATGAAGAGGAAATAGACAAATGAAAAGATAACAAGGACAAACTTTTCAACCTGTGTGGATATCAGATGTCTGCTCAAAGAATTTGTATCCATACTGCCAGAGATGCAAACTCTAGAAGAAGCAAGAGCAGATTGGGGATTACAATTACTAAAGTCTTGTACACAGTTATTTTTAAAATATTTATTTGTAAAGCCAATGATTAAGTCCAGTGATGCTATTTTCAGCACATGATATTTTATGTGAACTGAATGCACTTTGGTAAAAGGTGATTTAGAGTAAATCTGAAGTTTCCTGAGATTAAATTTAAGGGAACTTAGCAACTTATTACTGAGTATGATATAGTTTTTTTATGGAAATTTTGAGAATTTGGTAAAAACTCAGTGGGGTTTTTGTTTTATTTAGGAACAACTATAAAGTGAATGACTAATTTTTTAAAAAGAATCTATCAGATGACTTTATCCATGAATATTCCCTAACCAAATAGTCACATCTATAGGTTCTACATTTAATCATGGGGTCTCACTGATGCTCACAATCATCTTTGCAACTCTTTTTTGGAACTCCCTTTGTAATTGAGAAATTGTAGGTAGAAAAATCTCTTATGATTTTGCCTCATTTCTATTTCTAATCACAAAGTATCATTACCAGCTTGAAGTGCTTTCCTAATTGTAACTGGCTTTGAACTTATCAAATCCATCACCAAAGAACAAAGATTTGTCTACAGAGCATTGCTTTCAAGATAATTCCAAACAGAAAATTTTAAAGCAATTTGATTTGTGGGGTAATGAAGTTATTATCTGGAATTGTGTCAATCGTGGCTCTTTTGTGACTACTTTGTGTATCTGATCACATCCTTTTGCTTTTGTATGCTCTGGTGTATTGGATATGATGTAGCCACATCATCTTAGTCTGTTAGAACCTTGGCCTATATGACGTACTGTTGTTTATCATTAAAAATGTGTTGGATAGAATTTCTTAAAAAACACACACTGGTTAATTCTTGTCACTTTTGGTGTTTTTATCACTTTCTCTTTTTAAAATATTGTCACAAATTTTCCTCTAAATGTATTTCCCTTTCAAAAATAAGTGTGAATTATGATTCAAATGGGTCATCTCAATTACTGAAAAAATCTCATAAAACTATAAATTTTATTATCCTCTAAAATATTTTTTTTGCTTAATTCCCCCCAAAGGAAAAAAAATCATTTAACTGATATAATGCATCATTGGCAATGAGTATTGGGTTTTGCATAAGATCTTAAAGAAAGTACTTGTGTCTATTCAGCATGTGACACGGTTTCTGTGTTTACCACACTAAGGCAGATGGGAATAGAAGTGAAAGATTTTGGGCGAAGTTGGAGAAGTGGAGTTGCCTTCCATTCCGTTATCCATGCGATCCGACCTGAGTTGGTGGACTTGGAGAAGGTGAAAGGCAGATCTAACAGAGAAAATCTGGAAGATGCTTTCACTATTGCTGAAACACAACTGGGCATTCCAAGACTGCTGGATCCTGAAGGTATGTTGAATAATTAATGACTGTTGCATACCTCACTGTAGGCTATTTGTATGTATTAAACCCACAAATTGCATGACTCCTAAGGCTCTTTACAAGACAGAAAGCTGGAGAAAAGCAGCAAGAAATACTGTCTTTCTGCAATAATTTTCTTCTGGATAAACATTTGCCACTGTATTTGGAAACAGAATATGGTACCATTGCTCCAAACAGCTCTTTGACATGATGTAACAGCCACATAAACTGAGCTTACTCAAATACCAAAGGGTGAAATGAAGGTGTTGGAAGTGTATGCAGGAGCAAAAAGTTACTCTAAAACCCAGAAGAAATAGATCATTACTAATCTAAGACCATATATTCAAAATGTCAGTCATTAGATACTTAGAAATGAAGGCATTCATCCAATGTTTTGGTGAAAGTATCAGACTATCCAAACGGTTGACTACTATTTTCCATTCCAATTCTTTTGCATAATTTTTGTAAGATTGTGAATTTTAAGACTTTTTAAAAATGAAGTTAACTTTTATAAGTATTCAAAAGACAGTTATGATAAAACTGTAATAAAGTAGTAAGTTGTTTCCATATTGAAGTAAAAGTATCAAAATGAATTTTCCAAATGTCATACATAATTATTTATTTGTGTTGGAAATTGTAGAAATTCCCATTAATGAATGTGTAAGTATAATACACGGTGAAAAACAAGTTTTTCTAAAAGATTAGCTTTCAGAATGAATTCTCACAGCCCTAAAGCAAAGGTGATGCCCTGGCATTTCCAAAAGAAAGAAAGAGAGACCTGAGTGGGTTTCATCTGAGATGAGAGGCCCCATGGAGACCCCTTGCCACCTTAGGGTGCTGATTTGGGGCCCCACATTCACTCAAATCATTAAGGAATTTCCATTCAAGAATGCCAAAGGGGAAACTACCATGCACACATCACAGCCATCAACTGCAAGAGAGCTGAATCTCTTCATAGTATAGGATGAGAGTATAAAGCATTCTTTGATGTCCACTAGAATAGAAGGTCTCAATACTTCTACTAATTCTCAGAAACCGAGGTTGCTCAAATGCAAGGTTATCCCAGATAGAAGTAGATCTTCTGTTTTCCTAAAGGATTTTCTCTTCAAAAGTAATTTAGCCAACTTGAATGTATAAACTTTTAGACATACAGAATAAATAGACCAATACCTATTGTAAAAGTTATTTTATAAGTTAGGCATATATATATTGAATGGCACATACTATGTTAAATCATGTATTAAATTTTGCTTTTCTTTCCATGTTTCGACTTCATGAAATAGTTTCATTTCTTCTTCACATACCTCTTTAGTATTAGTAAAGAGTGTCAGTATCAAGTATGACTGATCGTGTCACTTCTAAAAATCACTTTTAAGTCATCTAAGAAATTCCAGGATCTTTGATTTTTTTTTCAGAATCCTACATTGATTGTCCCTAGAAATTATATCACAAATTAAAAGAAATATTCATCAATTATTGTGGGTTTTAGGTTTGTTTGGTTTGGTTTTGGCTGTATATATTGTTCTTCAATATGTCATTGCAGTTATTGACTTTTAAATGGGTAATTTAAAGATTTGTTTATAACATTTGGTACATTTTATTTATTCAGTCTTCTCCCCACAAACATTTATTGAATCTGCCAAAATTATGGTGCCTTATTTATACCAATTTTATAGAGCAAATATCTGTAGATTTGAAACCATATGATTGAGATATTTTTCAATATTTCAGGCTATATCTCCCTCAAAAAGTACTTGATTATTCAAACTATTATAATTTATTATTTTTATTTTTTCATTGCTTTTATTTTTTAAATACATGACAGCAGGATGCATCACAATTCTTATTACACATATAGAACACAATTTTTTATATCTCTGTTTGTATATAAAGTATGTTCACATCAATTCATGTCTTCATACATGTACTTTGGATAAGGATGTCCACCACATTCGACCATCATTTCTAACCCCCTGCCTCCTCGCTTACCCTCCCACCCCTCTGCCCTATCTAGAGTTCATCTGTTCCTCCCATGCTCCCTCTCCCTACCAGACTATGAGTCAGGCAGCTTATATCAGAGAAAACATTTGCCATTTGTTTTTTTGGGATTGGTTAACTTCACTTAGCATTATCTTCTCCAAATGCATCCATTTACCTGCAAATGCCATGATTTTATTATCTTTTATTGCCGAGTAATAAAAATATTATAATTTATTTTAAAGGAAGAAATAAAATTGTCTTTGTTCACAGATGACACAAATGTCTAGATACAAAATTTTAGACCAAGATTGCAAGTCTAAAATTTTGTATCTAGACATTTTGTATCTAGAAGGTTAATATACAAAAGTGGATTGCTTTCCTATGTACCAGCAATGACTACTTGGAATATGAAACATAAAACACAATACCATTTATATTACTATGAAGGGAAAAAGTGTGAGTGCAAATTTAAAAGATATATACAAGATTTCATAAGGAAAACTACAATGCAAATGAAGAAAGTCAAAGAATATCTAAAGAATGAGGAGATATTCCATATTCATGAAGAGAGGAAGACTCAATTTTCAGATGTCAGTTCTTTTCAATTATTTATTTATTTATTGTAACAAAAACTAAAAGTTTCAGCTTAATAGAAGTATATATGGCAGAGTGGTAGACCAGAGGAAGTAAAGAGGTTGAGGTGGTGTGGGGGCTGTTGATAGCAAAGATTTCCTGAGGATTAGTCAGGAAAAGGACAAGGTCACCACATAGCAGGAAGAATGAATTGATGAAAGAAATAACATTTCAAGCGAAAGGCAAAGGACAAAGGAAATACATGAAAAAGATGGGGAAAATAGTCAGATATTTAAGTGTTAATGATGATTTTCAGATTTTATGAGAAGAAAATTACTTAATATACAAAGATTTCAAATTTTTTTTCTCTGTAAGCCTTCCAAGGAAGTCCTGCCTTGCTGTTCTAGTTGTGGGACTACTATTTTTATTTGTTATTTTTAGATATACATGACAGTAGAGTGTATTTTGGCATATTGTATATACATGGAGTATAACTTATTCTAATTTGGTTCCCATTCTTGTGATTGTACATGATGTGGCATTTCATTGATCGTGTAATCACATATGAGCGTAGGAAAGGATGCCCAATTCATTCTACTGTCTTTTCCATTCCCATCTCTTCTCCTTTCCCTTTACTCCCTTTATTCACCTTTGTCTAATCCAAAGAACTTCTATCCTCATCACACATGACACTTACTGTGCCTTAACATTCACATATCAGCAAGAACATTTGGCCTTTGGTTTTGGGAGACTGGTTTATTTTATTTAAAACAATAGTTTCCAGTCCCATCCATTTACTGGCAAATGCCATAATTTCACTCTTCTTTATGGATGAGTAATATTTTATTGTGTGTATATATACCACATTTTCTTTATCTATTCACCTTTTGAAGTCATGAAGTTCATTTGGAAAAATAAGAGGCCCAGAATAGCCACAGCTGTTCTTAGTGAGAAAAGTGAAGCAAGAGGCATCACAATACCAGAACTTAAATTATACTACAGAGTTATAGTAACAAAAACAGCATGGCATTGGTACATAAAAAAGATATGAAGCCCAATGGTACTGAATAGAAACACAGAGACAAACCCATACATATATACACATTTATCTCATACTAGACAAAGACACCATAAACATACATTGGAGAAAAGATAGTTTTCCAATAAATGATGCTAGGAAACTGAAAATACATATGTAGTAGAATGAAATTTACCCCCTGTCTCCTACCCTGCACAAAACTCAAAGTAGACCAAGGACTTAGGCATTAGACCAGAGACCCTGTGCCTACTATAAGAAAAGAAGGCCCAACTCTTCATCATGTCAGCTTAGGAACCAATTTCCTCAACAAGACTCCTAAACTGCAAGAAGTAAAATCAAGAATCAATAAATGGGATGGTATCAAACTAAAAAGCTTCTTCACAGCAAAGAAAATAATTAAGAACATGCACAGAGAGGCTACAGATTGGGAGAAAATCTTTGCCACCTGCACCTCAGATAGAGCATTAATCTCCAAGATATATAAAGAACTTGAAAAACTTAACACCAAAAAATCAAATGCTCCAATCGATAAATGAGCTAAGAAACTGAACAGATACTTCACAGAATAAGAAATAGGATCAATCAACAAATAAGTGAAGAAATGTACAACATCTCTAGCAATTAGAGAAATGCAAATTAAATCTACACTGTGATTTCATCTCACTCCAGTCAAAATGACAATTATCAAGAATACAAGTAACAGTAAATATCGGTGAGGATATAGGGGGAAAGACACACTCAAACATTGCTGGTGGGATTGCAAATAGGTGCAACCATTCTGGAAGGCAGTATGGAGATTCTTCAGAAAACTTGAAATGGAACCACCATTTGACCCAATTATCCAGCTCCTTGATATATACAAACGACTTAAAGTCAGCACACCACAGTGACACAGCCACGGCAGTGTTCATAGCATCTCAATTCATAACAGCAAAGTATAGTAATTTAGAAAGAATGCCTCATAGTGAAAGGACCAAGAAATTAGATATATGACATGTTCCATTCTTCTCAAGCAAAGTTTAAGGGGGCAGGGAAGTTGTCTGTATTTGTCCATATATAATGGTCTACAAGCGGTCATTTAGCATCACATCTGCAAACATTTTTATATGCCCTGCTCTCCCTAATTCTAAACTTTACATATTATTTGTATTTTATTAGCCAGACAGAATGTCTGAATAACCATACAGAATCTTTGATCTCTACTAAATTATTGATGAAACTATATAAATGGGACATCTTTTTTAAAAGCTGTTTGTTAAAACACACCATCTTGAGTTATAAAATTCTTAACATGTTTCATTTAGACTAAATTGGTTTCCTTTCTTCCTCCAAATTTCTTAATAATAATTCTATTTTCTTTCTGCATTTAGGTCAGTTTTCTTGATATAACAGCTAGATTTTAAAACTTGCATTATTAAACTCCAATGAATGCTAATTAATTTGTTCACATTTGATCTTGATTTTTCCAGATGTTGATGTGGATAAACCAGATGAGAAGTCCATTATGACTTATGTGGCCCAGTTTCTGAAACATTATCCTGACGTCCACAATGCAGGCAGTGATGGGCTAGAGAATGATGTGAGTATCTGTTCCAAGTATTGCTGGTGTGCTCAGTGACCGTGGCTCAGGTTTGCATGGCTACTGTTTTCAAAAAGTTAAATTGGAATGCATTTTAATATGAGACCGATTGAGTAAGAAATAGATATCACCAAATGAAAAGGCAATTAGAGGAAAAGGTTTTGCTGGTGTGAATGTTGCTATTAAAACATTACTAATAAGTGCTAGGTTTGCAATGCTGATGAGTTAAACTGAGGAAAGCAGTGTTGGGAACTCAGTTTTAGTAATTTGAGGATTGAAATAATTTTATGTCTATCACATTTGTACACATAGTTCTTAAGTCTCCTCATTCTGTCTGATCTGATGAAATCTAATTTTGACTTATAGATTCAATGTTACCTATTTACAGCAAGCATATGGAAGTAGGGCATAATTTTAAAAGTTGTAATTATTTGCTGTGGTTAGACTTTTCAGCTTTCAATAGTTTAAGTAAAATTTATATTTTTATTACTGCTCAAATCACATATGTTCAACATCATAATTATTTTACATAAATCTGGGGGGAAAAGGAAAATTACCTTTATTTGACTTTCTAGATAGAACCTATGCTAGGAAAACATTAACATGTCAATGTTAATTCTCAACATTTTTCTTTGTCAATGTAGATTCATGATATTTTAAGAAAAATAGAATAATAATATCCATTCAATTTTAAACTTATTTTTCCATGAACATTATGAAGAACTATGCAAGTCATCATGTGTATGATTGCTCATGAATACGAATGTAATGAAAAAATCTTCAGAGATGAAACATGCCAACTCCTGACACAAGCTGTCAGTATTTAGCCAAGTTTATCTGCTGGAAATTTCTAACTTCTCAATATCATAAATAACACTTTTATGAACAGTCTTTTTTAATTTTAAACAATTTATTCTAATTAGTTATTCATGATATGAATAGTCTTAAAGCTTTGTTGTAAGATTCGTTCTTAGAAGTAGAATTCCTAGTCTAAACAAAATACAATTTTTAATTCTTTTTAAAATGTTTTTTGAATTTCCGTGTTGAAAGTTTGCCCCATATTGCTCTCTATGCAGGAAAGCAAA